TAGTCTACCAAATGTAACAAAAGGCATCTGGATCCTTGACCAAAATTCTTTTCCCTATTTGAGTAGTTGAATAGACTAGAAATGTTTTCATTGTGACATGTTTGTTAGGTAAGTTTAACTACTGCCTTTGTAATTTTATATTTAAGATAATAATCTTGGGAGATGCCCGTCAAGTATCGTCCTAGCTAAACCCAAAAAGAAAAGAAAAAAAAAGAATGGAAATTAGAATCTTTTTCTCCATTATTTTGTCCTCTAACATGACAAGCTAAGATTACTTTATAATAAATCTATAAGATAAATGAAAGGATAATAATTTAAATTTTTCTTTATAAATGTTAGTTGTTGATTGAGTTACAACCTAGCAAGAGAATTATCAAAAAAAAAAAAAAGATTAATTTTATAAAAGTATAACCCATTTTTTTGTTGACACTAAAACCAAAAGATAATATTATAATTTTGTAACAACAATGTCATAGTCGTTAAGTAAAGTAAAATGATGGTTTCACCTACTCTCCCTTATTTATTCATTTTTTCTTTTTCTTTTTGGTAATAAAATAGTGATGATCATTCACTTCTCCTAAAATCAAAATTTATGCGCGAAACCTCTTTCATTGCGTAATTGATATATCCTTTAAAGTTTTGAGATTTGTACTAAAAACTATATAAGTTTCCAGAACTTAATGTGGGCTACTTGTAGATGAACAAAGGGAATATTGTTTAAGATAAGTCAAAAGAACTACACGTGCCACGGTTTTTTTTTTTTTTTGAAACGGTACCTGTATCAATTAATTAGTACCTAAGCAATTACATCGCATTTTTACATAAGTTAAATTATGTAGATCATTAACTTCCGCCCTGCTAACTTTAATCAGAGAACAAGTCTGAAAGGTGGCCATTAAGGTGCAGATATTATCAATTAACTCCTGAGCTTCACTAGGAAACTGAGGAATTTCTTGATCGGAGGTTAGGAGTTCACAATCTGCATAGACTTTTACTCTGTCGATCCCCAAAGTTGAGGCATCTTGTAATGCCTTTAAACAGGTGGTTGCCTCTGCCTGGAAAGGGGACAAGGAATTTATGGAGACTTATTTGAGTTGCATTAGCATTCCAGAGGGTGAGATAATCCTCCAAGCTCCCGCTGCCATCCGGTTGTGAGGATTGAAGGATGGATCAAAAGTGTTTTTTGTCATTGGTTCCCGATTCCTCATAGGTGGATGGGGAGATTGTATGGAAGCTGTATGCAACCTTGTTCTGGACAGCTACTCCTTGTGTTGTTTGAGGTCTTGTTGGATTAATCTCCATGAGTTAACAAGATCAATTGTGTGATTTCTCCACACCTTATCATTTCTGTCTAACCAAATACGCCAGAAGATTAAGAGGAATAGATCAAGGTCTTCTAAAGATGGTTGAGTCTGGATCCAGTTAGTAAACCATTCAAATATGGATTGCGCAAAGCCATTCAGAATTGATTGAAATTTAGGATAGGCAAAACTCCAGACTGCCTGAGAAATCGGACAGTTGAAGAAGAGATGAAAATTACCCTCCAAACCTATAAAGCACCTTGGACATGTAGTGTCAACCTGTATTCCTCTTTCATGAGACCTTGTTTAGATGGTAATGCATTTAGTGCCATCGGTACTTTTGTCCAATAGGGAAATGGAGCATAATCCACATCCCTCAAATCATAAAAATTCGAGTGTTGATCTCCCTTTTTTCGTTTTCGACACACGAAATAAGGTTTCTTTACTCTTTTTACTCGTGCTTGAGAATATTTCCTATTGAATTTTCTAATTTTCTATTTAGATAGATTATAATTATACTTAATATAATTACTATTAATTAATTTATATAAATTAATTATTTATATAAATTATAAAAAAAAATAATAACCATTTTTATTTTCAAATAATATTAATTAAATATAATTAATTATTCGATCTAGAAATTTGTTGGAAAAAAAAGGCCCGGCTAGGGACTGCCCGGGCCCGCCCGTGACAATAAGAAGGGCCTGTCGAACAAAATCAACGCAAGGGGCTCTGTGGTCTTCTTTAGTTTTCTTTTTAGATTGTTGACATTGCTTCTTCGGCCCGAACCGAGGAATACCTTAGATATGATGCAGAGCGGATCTTGTTCTATCCTTGATTAGAGATTTCTCTATGAAAAATACGAATCAGAGTTTGAAGAGGGGGAGGAACAAGGGGCCCTTGACCCGCAACAGATAGAGGAGGATTTATTCAATCACATAGTTTGGGCTCCTAGAATATGGCGCCCTTGGGCCTTTCTATTTGATTGTATCGAAAGGCCCAATGAATTGGGATTTCCCTATTGGTCCGGGCTATTTTGGGACAAGCGGGTCATTTATGATGAAGAGGATGAGCTTCAAGAGAATGATTTGGAGTTCTTGCAGAATGGAAACGTGCAGTACCAGACACGAGATAGACCCTCCAAAATAGGAATTTATGCTTGGATTGCAGTTTAGCATTCCACAGTTTTTTCCAACCCAAGGTTTCTGTTTGTGGCAGAGCCTATTGATGTGTATGAGAAGGAGAGATGAGGTGATCACGATTTATAGCCTCATGATACCCTGATTGCACCATATAGGAACCATGTTCTGTCTTTTGCCATAAGAGTACATCCTGATTCAAGTGTCGTGCCGGATCCACATATATACCAGTAATATAAGGTATATACTGATCAGGAAAAAGGTGCGTAGGAGAGGCAGTTTCCATTGTCCATTTGCCCGAAGTAAATCACTGACCCTTACATTAGAATGTTGAGCCAAGAAGGAATTGCCATGAATGGCATTGGTGATACCTGGAATCTAGTTATTGGCAATCAGGATATCTTTGCCACTGATGACCTTCCACTTAGTGTTATTTTTGGAGAAGTTTAGCTCCCTAGAGGACACTTTTATGACCCCATGTGGCATTATTAGGTGTATTTTGTTGCGGGAAATTCTCCAAGAAGCAGTATTTTGCTTTGTATATTCTGGATAAAAGGGAGCTTGGTTGGGCCAAGATTTTCCAAGCATGCTTAGTGAGAAGGGCTTGATTGAACTCTGCAGTGAATACCTTTCGCTTGATCATCTCCTTTCCATATAAAACGAGCAATGATTCCATCTGCCTTTTTTAATGTGAAAGCTGGTAGTTTAAAAACTCCCATCGGATACACCAACATTGCTGATAAAGTAGCTTTGGCCAATGTAACTCTCCCAACAAAACTAAGTAGCTTTTTCTTCCAATCTGCAAGCTTTCTATTGAGTCGAGCAGTAAACTCCTTGAAGATTTCTTTCTTTTTCTATTTAAAATCTAAGGAGAGGCCAAGATATTTTCTCTGAAAATTACCTTCTGGGATTTTCAAAGTGTTATGGATTAAGGCCTTTATGCTAGCAGAGGTGTTGGCACTCGACAGTATGGAGGATTTTTTATGATTGATCCTTTGGCCAGAATATGAAGCATAATCCTCTATCAATCCAGAAAAAGCTTTTATGGAAGCATCCCTGCACTCAAGAAAGAATAGACTATCATCTGCATACATTAGATGGCTGATCCTTGGGGCCTGTCTATTAATCCTGATGCATACCTGGAAACAGTTGCAACTCTGCCCTGATTACTGATGAAAGAGCTTGTTGGCATAAGATGAATAAATAAGGGTACAAAGGACAACCCTGTCTGGGACCTTTAGTAGGAGCAAAATAAGGTAGATTTTCCCCATTAAACTGGATGGAGTATGTCATTGTTGAAACACAATGCATTATTAGTTTAATCAGCTTTGGCAGGAGACCAACCTTAGTAAGCACTGCTTGCAGAAAAGGCCATGATACCCTGTCATAAGTCTTACTCATATCTAGTTTGATTGCTGCAACCCCTACATCACCCTCTTTTCTCCTGATATACTCAATGACCTCATGTGCAAGGAGAATATTTTCACTTATATTTCTGCCTGGAACAAATCCATTCTGATGATCATCAATTAGTTCTGGCATCACCTGCTTTAATCTGTTAGCAATCATCTTAGTGAGAATTTTGTACTTCACATTGCAGAGACGAATTGGTCGGAAATCCCCTGGACTGACTGGATTAGGCAACTTGGGAATAAGAACAATATTAGTCTGATTCCATTCCTTAGGAAAATGCTGAGTTTCAGCTGCTTCCAAAATTGTTGTTTCCAGATCTGAGCCAATGATATGCTTATATGTTCTATAAAATCCAGCAAGCATACCATCTAGACCAGCGATTTCCAGGGTAACATCTTCTTAAGGGCTTGCCAAATCTGTTGGCAGGAGAATGATTTGTCCAGAACTCGCCTTTGATTTAGGGTGATGCCTTCCTGTATGTTATCTAGGAATTGTTGGAAAAATGGACAAGAGTGTATATGTGCTTGCACTGTATGCTAGGTTGTATATGAAGAACTTACTGTGTTAGGAGTTGATTTGTGAGTCTGTGTAACTAAGGGTCCAAAAGTCCCTGAGTTTGAGACACCATAAAGATCCTGAAAGTGGTGCAAAATGAGTGAGGCAATCTGTGAAGGTTCATATACCCACTGACCATCTCTTGATTGAAGTTCAGTGATCCATTTATCACCCTTTTTCCTGGTTCCCCACTTGTGAAAGTATTTTGTGTTCTTGTCTCCTAGGAGTGGCCAAATCAACTTAGAGCGTTGTTGCCAGTATTATTGTTGGAATTGCAGGGCTTGCTCTAGTTCTTCCCTCTTCTGTGAAAGGAGATGGAATGTTGTGTCAACATCAGTGTTCCCCTCCCATTGTGATTGTAATGTTGCCAATTGATCCGATAACCTCGTAACTAGTTTATCAAGGTTACCAAAAGTGTCTCTGCTCCAATTAGTCAATCCAATGAGACTGGTTTTGAGCTTAAAGAACAATTTCTCTTGCAGATTATTATCTGAATATTATCATGAATCCAGGAAAAAGACTGTACCAGTGCAGAAGAATTAAAGTTACTTGTCCAGAATTGTTCAAACCTTAAATGAGGTCTGGTTTTCTATTTCTTGTTCTTGATTTGTACCAAAATTGGAGCACGATCAGAGACCATAATTGGCAAATTCCTGGTTGATGCTACTGGGAGCACAGATAACCACTGCTTGTTGACAAAGCCCCGATCCATTCTTTCATAGATCGCCTCTTCATTCTGTCTCTTGTTGGTCCAGGTATTCCAACATCCAATGTGTTTGAGTTCCTCCAAATCATTTTGTGTCAGGAACTGATGCACTGGAACAGTATCTTGATCCCTAACTAATCTACCACCACATTTATCTTTCTGTGAAACCACCTGATTAAAATCTCCTAATAACACAATAGGATAATTAAAAGAGCTTAGATTGGCATTGAGCTGGGACCAAAACTCAGCACGACCTTGCCTACAAGGAAAGCCATACAAGAAAACAGCCAGCCAACTAAGTCCTGAGGGTTCGCATACCCTAGCTACTATTACATTCTGATTATGCATAATCATATCTAGCTAGACATCATTCATCCAAAACAAGGCAAGACCACCAGAGGGCCCTAGAGAGACTATTACAAAAGATTGCCTAAAAGGCGTGGTCTGTTGCCACTTTGACAAAATACTACTACCAGCTTTAGTTTCCCTTAAAAATAAAACCTTAGAATGATAATATTTATATAACCTACCTACATTGTGCTGAATAGAGGTACTATTAATACCTCTACAATTCTATGTGAGGATATTCATTGAGGTGAAGGTGGTTGATCTGGTTCAACCATCACAAGATACTGCAGCACAATCTCCTCTATCTCCCTTGGAGTACCAATCACCTCCCTGGTGTCAGACTTGACTTTCTTGTTACTTTGACAGACTTCCTCCTTCAATTCCAATGACCTCTTCCTAGTCCTCAGCTAGACTTTAGCAGGATCCTGGAAATCTTCTTCAACTATGATTCTCCAAGGACCTCTCTGTGGTGTCTCCCTTGAAGAAGATTGGACATTAGTAGGTTGGGGGGTGGGGGGAGAGAGAACTTAGGCTCTGAAACTTGTGGGCAGAGCGTGGTTCCTGAGACTTTCTTCTGGAATTCTGCTTCTTCTTCTTGTCTTTCTTGACGGGGGCTAACTCAACTTCTGAATCCAAGACCACTTTCCTAACCTTCATCCTGTAGGAATTCACCTTCTCTTGAGATTCTGATTCGCTCTCATATTCCAGCTCTGGAGCAGACATCGTCCAACCGCCTTTCCTTTTTATAGACCATGTTGCCTCTGGAAAGTTCTTTGCAGGAGTGGAGAAAATCGCCTCCGAAGCCATGGCATCACAGAATGGCATCACATTGTTCTCCTCCAAAGCCAAATAATACATTAAAGATCTTAAAAAGGAACTAGAGTCTGAGGAATGGGAAATTACATCTCCACCGACAGCATTTACAGACTCTGACATGTTCTCAGTCTCATTAAAACTAATTACAGACTTAGAATCCGACAAGAACACATCAAAAACAGAGTTTGGGGATACAGGTACATCACCCACAAACAGGGGACTTAGATCATTAAAAACATCAACAACAGGAACAAAGTTGGGATTTGCTAAAGTGTCATAAGATTGAATAGACTCTGTCATCACCGAGTCAGAGGAATTAAACAGAACTTCCTCAGGGTTAACAATAAGGGGAAGAATCAGCAGTCACTGAATGAAACATACCAGTGGAAGCTATATCAGAATTATCTGATAGCATTTCTTGAGCTGTTGGGGCCGCCCTTCTAGAAGTATCTATTGAGCCATTTGCAAGCATCTCACCATAATTGAGACGGATCGAGTTCAGAGGATCAAAGTCCCCTCCACCCCAATTATCTCTGTGAGATGCCTCAGGATCTCCATTAGCATGATTATGACCGCCAGGATTATCCCCTCCACCATGGCCATTGTGGCCATCATCATCGTGGTTGTCGTTGTCATCATGACCTTGATCATCCTGGCTATCATCATCATCATCATCATTATCATCATCTTCCGGAAACATGGCTGGATACATAGCGTCAGGCAGAGGGGGCATCCAATTTCGTAAGATGGAAACCATCCTGAATAAAATGAACTGGCACTGTTTCATAAAAATGATGTATTTGCAGATATTTAGTATCCATGATTCTGGAATTCATTTTCTGTTTATGTCCATGTGCTCTCATGGTAGTGGAAAGCAACGGACGCTGAGCATCTATTAGCAATAAAGAATCATTTCTGATAGCCCTTTGCGTGAAATGGTTATCCAAATAAGCAAAAAGAGCTGCATCATCAGTCATAAGACACCTTTATGCCGGATGACCAAGTTTACCACAACGCGTACAGAATTTATGTACAAATTCATACTTACAGTGAATTTTACCCAGTTTTCCATTTCTTTTGGTATAATGGAATGTTGGAGTCAATGGCTTTCCCGGATTAATCCATACCTTGACTAGGATGTATGTAGCTTTGCGGAGATTAACACAGTCTTCTTTGATAAGTGCAATATCTCCCAGATTCTTTACCAGATCTCTAGGACCGCGGTAGTTGTAAGAGGTGATAGCAGCCCCATGCATGCGAACCCAAACACTTATCTTGTCAATCTGAATATTGTCTAGCACCAGATCTTCATGATCATACATTCTGCGGAGGACTAAAAGACCACCATCAACCGCATAAGGCTCATTATCTAAGGCCAGGAGGAGATCAGCCCTTGAAGCAAACTTAATGATGAAGAAGTTGCGGTCATAATGCAAGATCCTGGTGTACATGGGCCAATTCTCCACCATATACACTTGCATGTCACCATCTGTGAAGGATCGGTCATCTATGAAGTAACCCAGTAGTGATAACTTGAAATTTTTTCTAGATAGACTAGTATTATAGTCATTAAGCGGGAGTCTTAGAGATCTCTCATACGAAGTCTGCACAAACTGAGGATGGACTTCAGTTTTCGGGTTGAAGTCATGTTCTTCTTCGGAAAACTCTGAGCCCTGGAGAGACATGCCGTTTAAAGAATCTTCATCCATAGCGTGACGATAACTCATGACGAAAGGAAGATTAAAGAAGGGTTAAGAGATTGAAAAAGCTGGAAAGGAGAAGAAGATAAACAGATCTGGCTTAAAAGAGGGAGTAACATGGTGGAGAAAAAGGAAACTAAGAGTTGAAAGAAACTATTAAAACCAGGTGGTTATGTGAACAGACGAAAGATCTGATTTGGAAGGGAAAAGGTTTTGAACTTTTGAGGCAAAAGAGATCTTGAGCAGCCAAATGAAAAACGTTGGAAATACCATTAATGTCTTGGGACAACAAACAAACAAAAAGGAAGAATAAAGGGGAGGTACTTTGTAGTTGAATTATACTAATATCTGATAATAGCATTCGGAGACAAAAAGCTTAAAATAAACAAATCATTTTCTGCTGCATGTTAAACAAATGGCAAAAGGGAACGACTAATTGCCAAGTACTCGTCCACTATCTGGATGAAAGGAGGGAATTTTCAGGCATCTGATGTGGTTTTAATGAAACTAGGGATGATAATGGAGGAGAGTGGTTTTTGAAAAAAGACCCTTCTCACTGGGAGAAAGAGGACTTTCTCTCTCTTGGGTTTTAGAGAGGGAAATATTTTTCATGCCATGGTTTTGATTCCTAACTTTACAACATCATGGTCTATTCTTTTTTTTTTTTTAAGATTTACATCAATAAAATAGACTTATTCAAAAGAATACTTCTCAAAGAGTAAAACACCATGTCACAATATAATTTAACTTGACTCCGGGTGAAAGTTTTCCTTCAAGCTGCTTTGCACTTGGCAAAGCAATTCCGAAACCATGAACGATGATCACTCCAAGGATGTGCGATGCGAATATTAACTATGATCTTCTTCGGTGAATCCACCGACTTTTCAATCAACAAATTAGCTAGGAGTATATTTCTTCTCATCCGCCTGCATATTATACCTGTGCGTCAACTTGTGAAGACGAGGAGGACATTCAACTGTTATTGAACATAACACTCTCCTCCTCAAATGCAAAAAATATCAATTCCAACTGCCCAAGATTGCCGAATCCGGGAAATTTTCTATGGAATCTCTTGCGTCTCACCCAACTCATAACGCGCATAGCAAGTTACAATTTCATGATCCGAAATGTTAAAGATACAAATTGCTATGGAGATTTAAGACAAAATATTCACAACATTCTCGCACCCTTCCGGCTGAAACCATCTTTGTGGACACCATATATAGTGATTCCTGGATCATTCCCGAAGCTGATGTTTATGGCTGTCCCGCATAGTGTCCTTGGACTCAAAATCTAAATTTCCCTTGGAAAAAAAAAAAAAATTCCTAAAGTTTATCCATCTGCGAGAAAGTATAGACGCTATTGCAGCCTCTTTCCTGTCCAAGAATGACAAGATAATCCCCAAAATCTCATCAGGCAACTCACTGAGACGATTCTGGTCGGCTACATCCAGTGGTGGTTGACGGGCGGATCCCTTTATCGAATCGTGATGTCAGTCTTGAGTTCTGTAAGCTTCCTCTTTCTTTCTCTTTTTCCTTGGACTCTTATCTTTCTGTTTTAATGATGACAAACCCAAATCTAGGATATGAATCATCAGTTAACCTGTTTCTGGTAACCAGCTTAATCATGTATTCTCACCTCTATATGAAGAGATGATATGCCCGTTATTAAGACAAGTTGTACATACGCAACAAATATGTAATATTCTCTCTATTTTCCCTTTTTTCTAAATCGCCTTGCGGATTTTGACCTCAACAAATGGAGAGGGTGGAGTGATGGAAGTTGAGGTAGGTGGTGTGGGTGCATGTTAGAAATTAAAGCGGTCGGAGAAAACAGAAAGGATGAGGATGATAGATTAGAGAATTGATTCTAAGTCTAAATGGATCCTTAACCCTTGATTTTGGTGAACAAGTTGAAATGTATTAATTTGTGGAACAGTTGAAGGCCTAATATACCTCATTTTTCTTTCTAGATTAACGAATGACTAGAGAACCTCGTTGTTGGACCCTGGTATTGAAACATTATAGACAAATCTCGGGTAACATGTAAACGAGATCGGGTGAGTCAAAGGCTTACAAGTATCACCTAAAAAACAATAGGCCGAAAATATCACAGGGTCCAAACTTAAGAGCAAATAGTTAGGTTTTCCTCGTCACCTTTATAGTTTGTGAAGCTAAAGAAACAATTTATAAGAAGAACGCACTAATTAACAACTTGAGTTGTAACTTGTAATGTAACCTAATGTTGTCACATAACGGAATAAACAAACAACTCATGTCTCTCAATTGTGGGAAACCAACATAACAAAATAGAGAAGCTATCCAAAAATATTAATAGAACAAATAAAAAGTTACTGAATGATTGTATAAAAGGATACTCAAAACATAACTTTCATGAACTTCAAATAAATCGACTTTGAAAGTTACCACACTGGTTAGGATCCATCAACAAATGATACTCAAAACATGAGTAAACTATTTCTAAACAATCATAATATCTCTGTTTTGGGATTAAAATGTGGGTAAAATACTAGAACAAGAAAAATCTTAGCCTAAGAATAAACCTGGAAAATTAAATTGAATTTGGCCTAATACAGAAATCTATCAAAACTCCAACCTAGTATATGTATATTGTCTCCAAGTATAATTAGACCAAAATAACATTACCAAAACAGAAATGGAGCAACAAAAAGCATCAACATCAACTTCAATTGCACCTTTGAGCTTCCATGAAAGCTTGTGACAGCGGATGAATTATTTTTCTTCTTTCGCCGCAAATTCGCCAGTGCACCGCAGTAGAGAGCATTTTCAGGCCTAGGCAATTCTGTCTTGTTGATGTGATCTTCCGGATTGACAATCTTCATGTACGTCTCTTCACCGAGGTACCATCTATCCAAGTTTTCGGATCTGAGGTTCCAAACGCCAACGTTGTCCAATGACACAAAAACTGATGTCCATCCGCCAGGGAAAACCTGCGTGGTGGAACGCGAAAGCGCGTCCCATCGGTTATATGATCCTCTGCTGCTTTCTGTCCAGTTTCCTGTACCCATCCCAACTACAAAGAAGGAATATCCATCCAAATGAAAGCTATGTGGAATTGCATCGTCGTTCACCATGATTATCTCGATAAATCCTTTGTAGTTAGCCTCAATAATCGATTTATCCAACCTGTATGAACCATTATCAGGAGGCTGACTGGGAAAATCAGTCTTGTAGATACCCGACAGATTGAAACTATCGGCTAGTCTAATTGGAGTATCAGGATTTGCATAAGAAATCCCATTGAATGTAGAACGAAGTCTTCCATCAATTTGGACCAGTGGCTGGATTTTTAACATATAAGTATCCGTGACATTGATCTGGCCATAATGAAATGAGCCCTGTGGGTTTGGGCGTGCTCCGCTAGCGGTAACATTCTGCCTGACGGACATAGCTTGGTTCAATCCGAACGAAGTATCATAGATTTCACTTGGAGGATCCGGAAGTGGACCGGTTGCTGAGCCCGTCGAGTTGGAATAGTGCAAAATCGCGACGCCAGTGACCTTATCGCGAACAGATTCACTGGCGAAACGGGCGCTGGCGACGATGTAATAATCATTGCTTGCATTCTGATTCATCGTAACCAAAAACGTATAAGATTGCCCAACATGGATATCCATACTGGTATAGCCCTGTTGCTGAGTATAAACACCTTCAGATTCAGCAAGAACCAAATTATGCCCCTGAATTCGGAAATTCAGGCAAGTCGAAACACCAACGTTGTGAACACGAATTCGGTAAGTTTTCCCTGGATCAACATTAACTGTCTCGTGCACAATCCCATCAGGAACAAGAGTATTGTTGTATCTATAAGGTCCCCTGCCATTAATCAGAACACCATCCGGCACTCCGAGTTCGGACCCTGAATCGAGAGCCTCCCTGAGAGCCTTATGATCTCTAACATACCAATCACCAATCAAAAGTACAATATCTCCATCTGGGGCAGCGAAAGGGATCGGAATCACGGGCCGATTCGTTATGATGAAGGATCCGAACCCGCCAGATGCTCTCTGTAACCCGAGAGATGGGTGGTAGAAAAAGCTACCAATTTGATCTTTAACCTGGAATTGATAAGTCCAATTCGAATCTGGAGGAATCGGGCAGTTAGTACCAAGAACACCATCTTGCCAGGAAGAACGACGCATCTGGATTCCATTCCAGGTAAGCAGCAGATTCTCATCTAATTTGTTCCAAACATTAACAACAACGTTGTAATTGGTCGTAACGTTGATAACAGGGCCTGGAAAACTTGAATTCACAGCAATTACTTGCTGAGGAACCCCGAGTGGTGAAACAGATATGTAAGAGAGTTCCAAGTTGAAGAAAGCAAAAGGGTCTGAAGCTAAGGTTGTGGGACTGAACAAAAACACAGTTTGAAGGATGAAGAACAGAGCAAACGAACCAAATTTCGCCATGGAAGCCATCTTTTGAGTCTCTTGAGTTTTTCTTCTCTGTATAATTTCAATGTGCCTGTTCAATTCGTTGGGTTCTGGGCTTCTAGGGAAGATGAATCTTCACTTATATAACTAATTACAGAATCTTTCTTCCTTTAATACTCATTGATTTTCGGATGTTTCTCTGTATTTGTAATCCCTGAATTAAAGCGTTTGATTGATTAGTTAAGGAATTATTAGATACATTTGAATTTTAGGGTTTGGTATAAATTGAGTGAATTTCTTTTTGGTTTTGGGAGGAGCGAAATTTTCTATCATGATTTATTGTTGGGAAGATTTTCTTGTATTATTTTTCCTTTAAATTTCTTGAATCAATTTTAGGAAGCTCATGAGTCATTTCTTAATGCAATCACCCTGACAATTTATTATTATTATTTAAAAAATTAATAATGTATCTCTCGAAATTTCGTCTGAATGTTATACTTATGATTCCATCCCAAAAGCCACTTGTAAAAAAATAGAGAAAATTCCCATTCCCACTTTTGTTTCCGTAACGCTATGGGCTTTAAACTTAAACGTTAGTTTATGGGCCACGATCACAAAGTCTGGGCTACTCTCATTTTATTGTTGGATATTGCCCCATTTGCTTGCAGGCTTCACTTTCATGAAATGGAGTAGTGGCAGAATCAGACCGTACATAAGCAGCTGTAACGATTTTCTTTTTCTTTCTTTTTTTTTTTTGGAAGTAGAACGATTTGGTTTTTTTTTTTTTTTTTTTTTTTTTAAAATTTTGAGAATGGGATCGATTTGGTTGAATCATGAATGAAGTTGATGAATGTTTTCTTCTTTCTATTTTCTTTTTTTTTTAATTACTTTTTTTTGTGGTTCTTGACAAATTGTTAATCATGAGTAGTCATTGATAAAAAACTATTATCAGTTTCGGCCCATTTTTTTAAAAAAAGAATTGGTTTTGAAAAATTACACATGTTCGGAAATTTTTTAACTTTTAAATAATTTTCTCAATCGCATTTAGAGACTTTCTATTGTGTTGAAGAAAAAAAATTCATCAGCATCATGCATGAGCAGGCCGATGCAGCAAAATACATGTGCATGAAACAAAATAGGGTGTATAGTATCTCTGTCAAGAAAAATAATACTATTTTTGTCCTAAAAATTTGCTTAAATTTAATTATACTAAAATTGAAATTTAAAATGAAGAATTATTTCAAGATGGATGGAGTACTGTACCTTATTGAAACAACAAATTCTATAATATATGGTAACAAAGAAGTGATTTTCTTATTTTAAAAAAAAAACTGAGGAAATTCACACATATATTCAATGGAAAACACACGAAGAACCTATAAGCTCGGCCGATGATCTCCGAAGATTTCTTCATCTAATTGATATTCTTGCAAGTAGCCTTGCAGTTATGGAACACGGCGGCGCACTCCTTATGGCAGTCATCGGCGGTACGGCCGACAGCGGTACAATACTCAAGACAGGCAAACCGTTCAACGCCACAGTCTGTGCAAGGAACTTTGGTCCGGCGCCCCTCCGCTATTTTTGAGCTTAATAGTAGAACCATCACCATTACTTTTAGTAGCTTACATAACAGAGAAGAAGTCATTGGGGGGGATATTGGTAAAGATCTAGGAGAAAATATTAGATGTTTTTTTGTTTTAGACAAAAGTTATAAATGGCACAACTTAGTGGTTTTCAACTTCTTATAAAAAGTCGTCAATTATATATAGGAGGTTCAATACTTCAATGCCTACTCTATTTTTATGGTATTATTTTATCTGTCCAAGAAAAACAATCAATAATCTTATTAAAGTAAAAAGTATTTAACAAAGAGGACAATTCTTTTGGAAATGGAGTCACTATTACGAGTATCTATTCAGTATACTGGGGGCACCATACTTCCCCTTCTATTTTTTACACTACTAGTCCTTATTGTACTTTTTTTACTTTTTCTAATAATATTCCTATTATTTGTAAGTTTAATCCCTGTTATTTTTTTCTCTCTCTTCTAAAAAAATATCTCTAATATTCAAATGATCATATCTTTCAATCCGTGAAGAATTAGGAAATGTGTTACACATGAATTTTATTGTATTCGTCGAGATCTATCCAACAAGATCCATGTCGAATATTTTTTTCGAGTTTAAAAATGACTAAATTTCGATGGGCAGAATAAGATGGATATCTATTTTCGAAAGGTGAATAACCAATTTAGTTTAGATTAAGATTCTTGTATTGCATATATTTCGTAATCCGTAAAAAATTAGAATACGAATTATACATGAAATTTATAGTACTCGACGAAATCTATCCGATAAGATCCATATTGAATATTTTTTTTGAACTTTAAATACATTTAAATTTTACGGGCAAAAGTGAAGAAATGTGTTTTTCGTTTTTCTTTGAAAAATGGTTATCCATTGTGTTCCTGCTGATTATTCAACCGGTTTGGACTGATTATCCATTCTGTTTGTACTTGTTATCCAATTATATTTTTGACATTCACTCTTCAAAAAAAAAAAGAAAGAAAGAAAAAATGATTGGATAAGCATTGTAAACAATTTGGATAATCAATAGAAAATAATTGGATAATTAGTGCAACACGTTGGATAATCAGTACAAAAAAATTTGACAATCATTTTCATAAAAGAGCAAGGAAAAAAAATATTGGATAACCACCACAGAGAAGTTGGATAATCAATATGAACACATTGAATATCCAGTTTAAGAAGATGGATAACCAACTTATTTTACATTCATATTGTTGTGTTCCTTATATCTTTTGATCCGTAAAGAATTCTAACACGAATTATATATGAAATTTATAGTGCTCGACGAGATCTATCCGATAAGATCAATGTTGAATGTTTCTTTTAAACTTTAAATGAATTTAAATCTTACGGGCAGAAATGAATAAACTGAAAAATGATTATCCATTGTTTTCATACTGATTATCCAACCGGTTTGGACTAATTATCTATTTTGTTTTATCCAATCATATTTTTTATATTCACTTTTCAAAAAAGAAAAAAAAAAGAAGATGGATAACCAACTTAGTTTAGATTGATATTCTATTTTCAAAAAAAAAAAATAATAGAAAGAAAAACTATGTTGGATAAGCAGTACAAATGAAATGGATAATTAATTCAAACCTTTCAGATAATCAGTACGAGCACAAAGGATAACTATTTTAAGAAAAAAAAACTAGGTTAGATAAGTAGTACCGATTAGATGGATAACAAGTACAAACATGTCGGACGAATATTTTTTCATAAAAAAAAAACTGAAGAAACAATAGCACGGGGTTGGATAATCAGTACGCACACATTAATTGGACAAGCATTTTCTCAAGAGAAGAAAAAAAGAAAAAAATGATTGGATAAGTAATTACAAACTTATTTGGACATGCAGTAAAAATAAATGGATAACCAATACAAAGCGATTGGATAATCAGTATGAACACATTGGATAATCGTGTTTCAAAGGGAAAAAAAATAATTGGATAAGTGGCATAAACATAATGGATAACTAGTATTAGCGTATCGGATAACAATTTTCTCCAAACAAAAAAAAATGGATAACCAGTACAAACAGTTTGGATAGGCATACAAATCCGTTGGATAACCAGTATGCATAAATTGGATAGGCATACAAACCAACAAGTGAATGGATACCCAGTACAAGCGAATTGGATATCCAGTGCAAATAAGTTTGATATGCATACAAACCCGTTGGATTACAACTACAAAACAAGTTGGAAGTTAAATAGGCATAAAAACCAAATGTATGGATATCCAGTACAAATGAGTTGGATATCCAGTACAAACAAGTGGGATATCCATTACAAACAAGTTTGATAGGCATACAAACCAAATGGATGATATCCAGTACAAACAAGTTGGATAACCAGTTCAAACTGGTTGAATAATCAGTATGAACACAACGGATAACCAATTTAAAATAACTTGGTTATTCATCTTGTAAAACTGGATATCCACCTTTATTCTGCCCATCAGAATTTAATCATTTTTAAGCCTGGAAAAAATATTCACTATGGATCTTGTTGGATAGATCTCGACGAGAACAACAAATTTCATGTGTAACACGTTTTCTAGTTCTTCACGGATTGAGAGATATGTTTGTTTAAAGATTAAAGATTTTTTTTGGAGGAGAGAGAAAAAATTGACAGGGACTAAACTTACAAATAATAGGAAGATTATTAAAAAAAGTAAAAAAAGTATAATAAGAACTAGTAATGCAAAAAATAGGAGGGGGAGTATGATGTCCCGGGTAGACCAATAAATTGCCTACTATTACATCTCTATGGTATTATTGCCTTGTTTTTTGAATGATTTTTTTGGTATGCCGACTAGTCTTGTTTTTAAATATTTTCATTATCTTAATATAATTGTTTTATTAGGATTTTTCATTTTAAATAAAATTTGTATTGCAAATGAAAATCGAAATTAGACAAATCATTTGGGAAAGTACTTTATTATCTCTTAAAAATATTTGGCACTTTTTATTCAGATAAAATGAAGGAAATAATAACCTTTTTGTACAACCATAATGTGTTTTCACTCCTAGATAAACAAGACTTAATTCCTGGATCTTTAAATGGTCCACAGTTCGCCTTCTCGCAAGCCACGAAAATTAACAAAACCAAAAAAAGGTCTTCATTTTCCATTCCCTACAAGCCGTTTTAGAGAAGATTGCAGGATAAAGAACAAAAGAAAGAGACCAAAAAACAACAGCTTCCCCAATGAACTGCCCTATGTTGGTAAAGCAACTATTATTTTGCTGTGTTGGTAATAGTCTACTTCTTGCCGGCAAAACAAATATTCTCTTTCATGCTTATTATACGGGATTTTGATTTGTCTTAAATTTTACTTAATATATTTTTTCGATTGAAAAAAAAAGTTTATAAATACATTTTCACATTCATGATGTTCTCTTAATTATTAGAAAATATTTTCAAAGTTTTTTTTCTTAATTGAAAAAAAATATTAGAGAAAATTTACGACAAATCAAAACGTCTTATAATAAGGACCGTAA